AAGGGAAAGAAAAACTTCCGCTAACCAGACCCCCAACAACCGCGAGCCTCAGGTAACCAGATTTCTCCCTGCCTTTCAGCTGTGGTGTTTCTAGTCTATTCTCAGACCAAACCTCTTCTAGGAGAGCACTGGACAGCAAGGTTAGAGTGGTGACTCTATTAGGTCATAGGGAAAGGCATGCATTTTCGGATAGAAAAATAGATCATAACTTTCCCGATGACCTGATAGTATGTTCCAGAAGGCTACATTCATCCCCAGAAACATATAAAATATGAGTACCTACTCAAAAATATGCTTATATCATTTAGAAAACATTTAAAATAAAACAAAAACTGATTTTTTGATTGTACCTTCAGGTAACTAGAAAAATCACCTGGAACATTCCAAGCTTCTGATCTGGCTAATCTTGGGAGACATACATGCACCATCTGGAAAGGACCTGGTACCTAAGACTGCCAGATATGTGGCAGGGGCTTGAAAAGACAGACGCTTCAGAACCCCAATCACAGGCTCCATTCTCCTAGCTTCAGAGCCAAGTGCTCTAAGAAACCTCACAGCTAAAGGCCAATTATTCCCAAGTCCCAGGGCCAGAAGCATCTCTTCATATGAACAGTTCAGCATCATGTGAGTCCTGAATTTTCTATCCGGCCTTGATGGGGACGCTCGTTATCTTCCAGGGAGCCTGAGCCAGTGTTAGGCAGGTCTAATTGCTGGAAACTTCCTTTTATGTTGTACTACAATCAACCTATCAGGCTTCGCCCAGAGATCCAAATTCTGCTAATTGGACAATGCCAGGGAGGTTGAGTGACAGAAAAAGGACCATTTTAGCCTCCATGCAGAATTTAGATAAAAGGATTATCACTTCAGCCTAGAATTGAGGCCTCTGAAAAGAGAATTTTGGAAAAGCTAAGAGAAAATAGTGCCTTATTCTTACCTCATCCTTTTCACCAAACTCTCAAACCTTTTCGAAGTCTATGCACCATCCCTGGAACAATCTCTCCAGCCCATTAATCCCTCCTATCTCAAAGCTGCCAAGCTGTCAATTAGGTAGTGTTCAGCTCTGAATTTTCCCCAACCTGCTCTTCCTGAGGGCGCAGACTTAATGGAATATGGTAGTAATTTTATTTATAAACATTGACCTCTAGACTCACTAAAATGTCACTGGCTACAAGCCCTATTACTTGTGAACACTAGCTCCCAGGTGCCCTAGTTAAATAGAATGTAAATTTCTGAAGCACCAGACCAGAAAATCATATCCAAAACAAACTGCTTGGGCCAATATGGACAGAAAATCTGATTGTGGGTGAAAATTCTGCTGGTTTATCTTGAAATAAGCTATGTTTTTTGCATGTGAGGGAACATTATTTTTAGAAATGTCAAAGCCTAGGGGCTTTGGCCTATCATCACTTACCCATCCACTCCCACCAGGGCCCTCCACCACTCCCTTTCCTCAAATGTGTTTTCTTTTCATTCCAAAGGAGAACTGCTTGTTAAGGAAAAGATGAAATTTGGCTTGGGGATCCCAAGCTAAAAATCTTCTCTCTCAAATGAACATAAACACTACTCAGAGAGCAGCTCGACAGAAGAACCCCGTTTTATCAGTTATGATGCAGTAGATTTAAGGACTTGGTATCAATAATGATCTGGAAGGAATGTTACCTTGCCCGGCTCAAGAAAGCCCTACATGTTATGTCTTAGTAAAACGTCATGATTAATTGCAAAGTGGATATAGCTAGGTTTTTCTCTGCACAAACCCCCAGTTAATTCTGGACAAGAGTGTGACCATTCGTCAGTTTTGAGTGATGATGAACAGGGAGGCAGGTGGAGGGGCATCCTACACCAGCCCTGTTTTCCTCTGGGGTGAATTATGGAGCTCCACCCTCATGAACACCATGAAAAATCCCCCTTTACACAAATGGCTCCCGTTTCCCTCTGCATTCGTTTCTAGCATTCTCAAAAGATTTAATAAAGGGTTTCCGAGATTATAGGCTGTGAAAGATAGAGGAGAAAATGACATCATTTCTGTAATAATTACTACAGAGCATTTGCATAGAGGCTTTCTTGCACTATCTCGAGGCTTCTGAGAAATTTATAGGTTTCATTACGAAGTACAATGGGTGTGGAAACTGTCACACTGAAGACAAAGGTGGGAGAAGGAACAGGCCAAGAACCACTTTGCAAGGGTCTTGAATTAAAATTCATCCCATAGTTTAAGAACTTTAATTCGGGTAGATTCTATTTGCTCCTGTCTGTCCCCCAGGGTCATCAAACATGAGGAAATTTAGGAATCGAACACCTTCTGTTTCAAAGACAAATCACACATGTTCATTTTTTTCCTCAAAGTAACAATATCAGCAGTAGGATTCTCAGAGTTACCTTTTTTTGCTTTCTTCTGCAGTTTCAGCGTATCTGAGGACTTCTTTTTTATCTCTTGGCGAGCTTTTTTATATTCTAAGAGAAAGCAGAATATTGAGTAATTTTACCACTTTGTGCGACAGAAGATATTTCAGAAGCAGCCATTACCTTCATCACAGAAAGCAGAAGCTATGACACGTAGTAAAGTAACTATCAGAAAATGTGACAAAAATCTTATGATGACATTTTACATCGAAAAGGCTACTAATATGAAAAACAACAAAATGCACTGTGGCCTTTCCCCATTACATTCTTTATGCCAGCTTTGAGAACGAGATGTCTTTGGGGAATATTTTAATAAAAACTAAAAATAAATCTATAATTTTGCAGCATAAGTAGCAGGAAAGATTCTTCAATATTATCTACTTTCCCAAGGCCCAACTCCATAATGCATCGCTCAAAAAAGAATTCCAACCTACTTTCCCAAAGCCCAAATCCATAGTGCTTCACTCAGAAAAGAACTGAGAATGGGCTTCCTTTTTGAGAGAAGCACCATGAATGTGGGCCTTGAAAAGTTGATAATATTGATGGAGCAAGGCGGGTTGGGGGATGCTGATTAATGGAAACAAAATTATAAATAGAAAAAGATGCCTAACATCATCAAATACAACTGAGTGACTACAGTTAATGACAATTCACCGTCTATCTCAGAGTAACTAAAAAAGAGATTTTTAATGTTCCAAAACAATGACAAAAGCCTGAGATGAATATGCAAATTATCTATGTATTTAATATACATATTCCTGTCAAAAAATCCTATTACTCTGCAAATGTACAATTATTATGTGTCAATTTGTTTTTAAAATTTGCCAGGGGTGGGGGGCACCAGCAGATAGTGCAATGGTTACATCACTGGACTCTCATGGGGTTGACCGCAGTTCAAGTCCTAGACCTGGAAGCTTAAAACTCATGCCGGGTGCATGTGCGTGCATGCCCAAGATCTGGAGAGGAGAATGGAGGAGAAGGGATTGTGGCCGTCCCCCGTGAGGGGGGGTGGATTTCTTGCTTTCCATCTCTCTGTGTCTCTCCGGCGAGTGCATGAACCCTATAACACACACAAATCTTGCTTAAAAAAAATATTGCCAGGGGTACGTGTGCTTTCAAGAAAGACAGAGAGGGAGGAACCTGTGAGGATTTTTGAGCATGCTCACGTGCCTGGTGTTTTTTCTTTTTTTTTTTGAGAAGTTTTAGCTATAGGGCACATGTGCTCGCCAAAAAGACAGAGAGACAGAAAGCGAGAAATCACCCCCCAGGCGGATGGCCATGCTGCAATCCCTTCTCCTCCATTCTCCTCTCAGGATCTTGGGCATGCACACATGAGCCTGGTGTGAGTTTAAACCACCAGGTCAGGGATTCGAACCGCGGCTGACAATATGGGAGTCCAGCAACATAGCCATTACACAAACTGCTGGTCCTGAACCTGGTGTTTTTGAAGCCACCAAAGTCTGACACTTGACAGTTGCCTATGTGAAATCTACTTCTATTAATCACTAGAAGGGGGACAGCCTCCTATAGGCCAATTGTTTTAAAATGAAGGAAAAAAAAATCCTATGGGGTAAGATGCTGGCCAGATGTTACAATTCAGAAAAGAACACCTAAGGCTAAGCAGGAGAAACCAGGTCCTGCAGGGAGAAAAGCTGGGCAAGCTCCTGCTGCCTTCCTTTCACCAGTAATCCTGCTGCTGGACCCCATGGACTCCGAACAGGGACAGCCCGTCCCTCCCCTCACCACCAACCACCTCCCTCCAACTCATTTCCAGATCCCCTGCGTCTGCTGCTGACATCACCATTATCTAGACAGAACACCTGAGGCCGGAGAGACAGTGCCTTCCTACGCTTCTCCGCTTTATTGCCTCGAAATTGTCAGCTGCTACATGTTCCACCAGTTCTACCTGCTAGGGTCTGAACATGCCCCCCAAAGTTGTGTGTTAGAAACTCGATGCCCAGTGCAACAACACCGTTGAGGGAGGGGAACCGTGAGAGCCCTCATAATGTCTCGAGAGTGGGTTCCTGGTGAAAGAATGAGTTCAGCCCTGCCGTCTCCCCTCTTTGCACATGCCCCCTCTTGCCAAATGATGCCTTCCACCATGTTAGGACGCAGCAAGAAGGCCCTCCCTAGGTGCAGCCCCTTGATCCTGAACTTCCCAGCCTCCAGAACTGTGAGCCAAATCAATTTCAGTTCACCATAAATTATCCCGTCTGTGGTATTCTGTTGTAGTAGCAGCGAACAGGCTAAGACACCATCCCTGATGTTTCCCCCTCCCCACAACTGGCCCTATGTCCGTAAGAGCTCTCATTTATAGGCCCATGGCATGGCCTTTTAAACAACTCATCCACTCCCTTCACTTCTCCCCCTCAGACCTACCCCTCAGAGATCTCGCCTGCTTTCTCTTCATACAACTTACTACAGGTTGTGTGATCCGTGAAACTACGTCTCCTGCTCCTTCCACACAACCAGCACCCCCACCCTCTGGCTCCAGGAAGATGGGGTCATGTCTGTCCCCAGAGCCTGACACACAGGGTATGAGACACATAAGTTATTGAAGACATAAATGAACCAGGACCAGAGGGCTTTTCCTGAAGCACAACTCTGTTCATGTCATATCTCTATGCACACATGGCATGTGTGTTCAAAACACTGCATCCAGGGGACCAGCTGTTGACGTAATGGCTACCTGGCTGGACTCCCATGTAGTCGATCGTGGTTTGAGTCCCGGACCTGGTGGCTTAAACTCATGTCGGGCGCGTGTGCATGCGTGCCCAGGATCCCAAGAGGAGAATGGAGGAGAAGGGATTGCGGCCATATCCCCTGGGGGTGTGTGTGTGTGACTTCTCGCTTTCTGTCTCTCTGCCTCTGTCTGTCTGGCGAACGCATGTGCCCTATAGCAAAAACCTCTCAAAAAAGAAAACAAAAAAAAACAAAACAAAAAAACACTGTATCCTGGCCATCATCCCTAAAGCCACTTCCCAGGCTCCTACACTTCAGCACACACAACCCTCTGCAAGACGGACTGAATCTACTGTTGGCAGCGTTCTGCCCTTTCCTGGTCAGTCCTCCATCTTCCCCGCCTGTCTGCAAATCCTCACTGCCCTAAACTTAGTATCATGAAGCCCTGTCTATCCAGTGGGATCTCCCTCAAATATGACCCTGTTCTCTAATTCTTCCACCAAATTTAAGCTCCCCCCCTTCAGCCTTTGTGGCACCCCATATCTCTCCCATCTCCCCTGCATTCTGCTCTGTAGGACTCTCCTCCCTCCCCAAGGGAAGAAGCAGTGTCACGGTCACGTCTGGAGGTGCTGGCTAGCACAGGGCGTTGCCTGTGATGGCTACTCAGTATACGCAAGTAAGGCTTTGTCATAAAGGCTGGGTAGGGGGCGCTGGACCCTAAGACCTCTTGGCTTCAGTCTAGAGAGAGGTGACTTAGCAGGTATGTAGGACCTGTCCATGAATCTAAATTCACATTCAGGCCCAGATCCTGTCAGTCTGGGATATGAATCCCTAAGGGATAAACTGAGAAGTGTTTCTCTGTGCACACTCGGAAGGGTCAGGAAGGGAGGATATTCAATTAAAATCAAGGCAGCTTTGTTTTCTTAGACAGAAACTGCAGAGCTCTTTCAAGACCTGCTGCCTCCTGCCCAGAGCATACCCATTCTTACAAAAAGCAATACATATCCAATTTTGAAGCCTTCGTAATTTTGAAGTCAGTTTTGCTGCACAACCAAATGGATGCATTTAATAAAGACTCAACATGAACGAAGTGACCCAGGCCAAATGTAAGCCATCAGTTCTCTCCATCTGAAAAGAATGTCAGATGTTTCTACTTTCCTCTATCTAATAAAAAGTACAGATGGACAAATCTAATGAACCTAAGAGAAGATCGCTTATGATCTCAATACACAGAGGGACAGTAAATCCTTTGAATTTACCTGTCTCCTTAACTTCCATTGAAAAGAGGAAAACTTGAGGATTTTATCAAATGTAGGAGCTAGGTCTTGGATGGAAAATGCTACCAAGGAGATATTAAGGAAGGAAATTCTTTTTTACAAGTTGTTTGCAAAGAAACACATGATTTAAGATTGCCATTTTCGGGACCAGCAGTTGGCATAATGGCTATGTCACTGGACTCCCATGTAATCAACTGTGGTTCAAGTCCTGGACCCGGTGGCTTAAACTCATGCTGGGCGCATGTGCGTGCGTTGCCCAGGATCCTGAGAGGAGAATGGAGGAGAAGGGATTGCAGCGTGGCCATCCCCCTTGGGTGGTGATCTCTCGCTTTCTGTTTCTCTCTCTCTTTCTGGTGAGCGCATGCACCCTATAGCAAAAACTTCTCCAAAAATAGAAAAAAAAAAAAGATTGCCACTTTCGGGGCCAGCGGGTGGCATAGTGGTTAAGGTGCTGGACTCTCACATGGCCAACCACACAGTTCAAGTCCTAGACCTGGCAGCTTGAAAAATCATGCTGAGCACCTGTGTGTGCCTGCCCAAAATTCCAGGAGAATGGAGGAGAAGGGATTGTGGTGTGGCCAACCCCCCAGGGGGTTATTTCTAACTTTCCTTCCACTGTCTCTCTTTGGCAAGCACATAAAACCTAAAATAAATAAATAAAAGCCATTTTTTCCCCTTGTTAAAGGGCAATTCTATCTTTTAATTAATTTCACATCTGAGGAATAAAAAATATTTATATTAATTTTTTATACAGCTAAATCTTTGGCTATTGTACATGAACAAGTCATCACCATTCCTCATTTTTTTATTTAAGTGGTTCACTGAGGACCAGCAGGTGGTATGGTGGTTAAGGCACTGGACTCCCACATGGTCAACTGCAGTTCAAATCCTAGAAAATCACATCGGGCGCATATGTGTGCATGCCCAAAATTCCAAGAGGAGAATGGAGAAGAGATGGTGGTGAGGCCATTCCCCCTGGGGTGTGATTTCCCATTTTCTCTCTCCCTTTGTCTCTCTGTCTTTCCCGCAAGCACACGTGCCCTATGGCAAAAATCTCTGAAGGAAAAGAAATGTTCACTGAAGTTCTGCGTACAACTGATTTCCAATAGCAATGGAGAAACACCCACCTGGGCCTCCAGTTTTAAGGGACATGCACTAAAAAGCAAGATCACTCATTTATTTCTGTGGTCCCAACGGCATGCAGGCACAGGACGGAGGAAGTACTCACTATCTGTAGATGCCCGAGTAAGGGGAGAGGTGAATGATCTGAATGAACATACAACTTCCCAGTGACTACTGACAACTTCGGGGACGTGGAATGATTTTCAGTATACAGCCTGAAGCAGGCAAAATAAGGGCTCCCTGGTAATAAAGAGGCCTGTTTCAGGAGCCACAGAAAGTGCTCATCCACATCCCGGAGCACTGGTAGCTTGTCTTTGTAGTTTTTCTTTTACTTGCTTTGTAATAGCGGCAATTTGTCCCTGTTATTAGTAGGTACCACTCATTTTTCTGTAGCCCCTCAGAACCCAGTATGTAAAACACAGCAGAATGATCTGAGAGACAAAAGCTTGCTGCAGAAAGTCTTGTTGGCCTGTGCGAGAAAAGCACAAAACACTCTCACCTGAAAGAGTATCAGCATTCTGCAGATTAAAAAAAAAAAAAGATTGCCACTTTCGGGGCCAGCGGGTGGCATAGTGGTTAAGGTGCTGGACTCTCACATGGCCAACCACACAGTTCAAGTCCTAGACCTGGCAGCTTGAAAAATCATGCTGAGCACCTGTGTGTGCCTGCCCAAAATTCCAGGAGAATGGAGGAGAAGGGATTGTGGTGTGGCCAACCCCCCAGGGGGTTATTTCTAACTTTCCTTCCACTGTCTCTCTTTGGCAAGCACATAAAACCTAAAATAAATAAATAAAAGCCATTTTTTCCCCTTGTTAAAGGGCAATTCTATCTTTTAATTAATTTCACATCTGAGGAATAAAAAATATTTATATTAATTTTTTATACAGCTAAATCTTTGGCTATTGTACATGAACAAGTCATCACCATTCCTCATTTTTTTATTTAAGTGGTTCACTGAGGACCAGCAGGTGGTATGGTGGTTAAGGCACTGGACTCCCACATGGTCAACTGCAGTTCAAATCCTAGAAAATCACATCGGGCGCATATGTGTGCATGCCCAAAATTCCAAGAGGAGAATGGAGAAGAGATGGTGGTGAGGCCATTCCCCCTGGGGTGTGATTTCCCATTTTCTCTCTCCCTTTGTCTCTCTGTCTTTCCCGCAAGCACACGTGCCCTATGGCAAAAATCTCTGAAGGAAAAGAAATGTTCACTGAAGTTCTGCGTACAACTGATTTCCAATAGCAATGGAGAAACACCCACCTGGGCCTCCAGTTTTAAGGGACATGCACTAAAAAGCAAGATCACTCATTTATTTCTGTGGTCCCAACGGCATGCAGGCACAGGACGGAGGAAGTACTCACTATCTGTAGATGCCCGAGTAAGGGGAGAGGTGAATGATCTGAATGAACATACAACTTCCCAGTGACTACTGACAACTTCGGGGACGTGGAATGATTTTCAGTATACAGCCTGAAGCAGGCAAAATAAGGGCTCCCTGGTAATAAAGAGGCCTGTTTCAGGAGCCACAGAAAGTGCTCATCCACATCCCGGAGCACTGGTAGCTTGTCTTTGTAGTTTTTCTTTTACTTGCTTTGTAATAGCGGCAATTTGTCCCTGTTATTAGTAGGTACCACTCATTTTTCTGTAGCCCCTCAGAACCCAGTATGTAAAACACAGCAGAATGATCTGAGAGACAAAAGCTTGCTGCAGAAAGTCTTGTTGGCCTGTGCGAGAAAAGCACAAAACACTCTCACCTGAAAGAGTATCAGCATTCTGCAGATTACACCCAGCTCCTTCTCATACCACCAGGTCCCCGCTAACTAACTGAACCGACTCACACAGGCATGTCTCAACTACCCAAGACAATGCACAGAGAGAAGGGCCAGTTCTGGGCATGTGACCCAGAGTGAGCGTGTATCCTGAAGAGCCTGGTGTCCAGAAGGTGCCGAAATGCCTAAGGATGACACGGATGCCATTTGGACCTGCCATTACAACCCCCTTTAATTCAGCTGATCACAATGAATGCCACCAAGCAATGAGGCTATCAGCTGCCGAGTGACGCTCTGTGCCAAATAAATGGCCCTCAGTCTTGCAACTGAGGGACCCCTCACTCCCTGACCATGAAATGCCTTCAGGAGAAGTAGGGACAGAGTGGGCCCTTCACTGTTTTGATTGACACCAGCAAGCTAGCAGAGGCAGCAAGTAGCAGCTGGCAGCACCGCAGCTCCCCCCGCCCCGGAGTGCTCTGAGGTGTGGGACCTCTGGCCCCTGTACCTTTTGCATGGTCTTTATCCAACTGGTTGGCCACTTTCTTCCATTCTTCCATCTGTTCTTGGAGTGGGTTTATCAGACAATCGATCAAAGCACTGTTACCACATGGGAAAGAAAAGGAGAAATTAAACCGATATATTCTATTGTTAAGATTTGCATGCGGCTGTCAAAACATACCTACAGCACAGTTACCTGAAGCAAGAAAAGGCAGCGTAACAAGCCACTACTCCCATCTGCCCCCAGCATGTACCAGCCTTATTCTCGGAACGCTTTTCAATGTCTCTTAGGAAAGCCAGTTGGCACGACCCTCTTCTCATTTCCCTGTATGTTCCAGCACTCCCATTAACAAGCCAAGGTGCAGACCCACTGGGGTCACCCCTGCAGTTGCATAACAGCAACAACCAAAAGGCAGACACTTGGGCTTCGCCTCACCCCGACAGAAACTTGGAGGGCAGGGCCCCAGCACCACCATTTTTGTTGTTGTTGTTGTTGAGAGATTTTTGTTATAGGGCACGTATGTTCACTGGAGAGACAGAGAAACAAAGGAGAGAAATCACCCCCTAGAGGGGATGGCCCCACCATAATCCCTTTTTCATTCTCTTGGGATTTGGGGCACACACATGTTCCCGGCATGAGTTTAGCTTCTGGGTCTGGGACTCGAACCTCGGTGGACTATGCGGGAGTCCAGTGACGTAACCATTACACCATCTGCTGGTCCCATCCACCACATTTTTTAACAAAAGGCTCATATGGTTCTGATGTGTATTCAAGATTTTCAGTCATGAAAGTACACCAACTATGCACAGACTAGAGCTAAGACACTCAGAAAATTCTCAAGTCCTGTCGCCAGCTTCTGGACCTTTCTAACTTCTCACTCATCATGCATACGTGTGTACACTGACATATGTACATACATAAATCTGCATACATGTGGTGATATATAGGTGTATCGCCAAAATTAAGGTTACTCTTACTATATGCAATAATACTCTGATATTTCCTATTCTATTTGATTTTTTGAGGGCTGTGAAGGTATCTTTGGGTGCACCCCTTCATTTTGTGCAGTCTCCCAGACAGAACTGTACAAAATGGCTGGATTATGCTATACGCTTAGAAAAAATGTCCGCTTTCATTTGAACATGGGTGAGTCCAAGTCTCTGTGCCGACCGTTCCCACTCAGGAAGCTGGCAGTTCAGAGGGCTCTGAGAGCCACTACTGCCCTCTCAGCGGGTTTGGGGATGAAGCACGCCCACAGAGCAGGACAGCAAGGCATGTCTCCCTTTCCAATGCCATAGCCCCTCTTCCTACGAGGCTCCTGCCAGGCCATGGGGGCCCGGGAGGCCTCAGCAGGCCCAGGCTCCACCGGCCCCTCACACTGAGAAGGAGAGGAGAGACCCACACAGGAGCACAGCGAAGACCCCAAAGGGTGTACCGGCTCCATGCGGGCAGGGATCTGGCCCTCTGGTGCTCAACAGATTCTTATGTGAGGAATGAACAGAGTTGGGGAAAAGACAGATTGGGGGAAATCAAATACTGTGGGGAAACGTGCTGCTCAGGTGAGTGGTGCCCTCTGTCACCCCATTGCCATTTGGCACGGGCATTTGAGACTGGGGTGACACATGCTCCTCACCTGGAAAACTGCCTCAGCTTGGCCTCTATGCTTCTGTGCCTCATGCACATCCTGGTGAGAGCAGATCCGATCTCCCTGGTGCCACCTGGAAAAGCAACAGAGGCAAAGTTGAGGGTGGTGGGTAGACACGAATCATTATCTTTGGAGAAGTTTGAAAACAACGCCAGATTTACCATGATGTAAAACCTAAACCACTGTCTTTCTAATTTCTCACTCCACATGCATACTGTGCACACTGACCTAGGTAGAGACAAAAATCTGCATACATATGGTGACGGATCCGTATACTGCTGAAGTTAAGGTTACTCTTACTATACACAATACTCTCTGATATTGCCTATTCTATCTGATTTTTTTCTTTTTTTGGGGTAATGCTGGTTATGATGCAGAAACCAAAAACCAAATCCATAACCTTATTAATGGATCAAAACCTGTGGGTTGAAAATGACTTCTTATAAAAAATAATCAAAGTATTAGCTGATGTTTAGGGAAAAGCTGTAGTCACCCATCCCCTGCCAACATACACGTACTTCTAGCAAAATAATCCTATTAATAGCATGTATGTAGAACAGTTAAGGCAGCCACTATTTCAAGACGCACGTTCTAGAATAGGAGTAATTCAAAGAACACCAAAGCCCAAGTGAAATAAAATGACAGCACATTTTAAACACGTTTGTCTGACACTGGTGAAAGAGGTCTTTAAACTCAGCAAATGTTGAAGGAAATTGCACCAGACCTGGATGTCCCCAAAATTCTTGTCACTGCTTTTTCCTTCGGGCACACCCTTCTCTAAGATTACTTCCGGACTGCTTCTCTTCCTTCCCCCTCTCAGAAACAAAGCTGAAATCAGCATTTACTGGAGCATGGGGTGGGGCAGCTGGAAAGGGGGGAGCAAACTGTAACCACAGATGGCAATTCCTCCAAGCCCTGGAAGGCACGATTATAAATGCTATGAAAACACTGGCTTTTGTAAAATAGAAGGTGGGGGTGTCGAATAAAACACTATTTTTAACAAATAAGGCCTTCGAGGGAAAGCTGCAGGAATTTATGGCAGGTTTAGCCAGTCAAGTGAACAGGAAGATATTCCCTTTCTTCTTAGAACGCTGATGTTATTCAGGGTTGTGTTGTCCCCTGCGCGTTCCTACAACATGCCCAGTTCTCGTTTCAGTTCCACCTACCTTTCATCGTATATTTGCTTATATTTCTACAACCAAATAATAACAGTGACATATACTGTATATTAAGATTTCTATGGGGCCAGCAGTTAGCGTAATGGCTATGTCGCTGGACTCCCACGTAGTTGACCGCGGTTCACGTCCCGGGCCGGGCGCGTGTGCGTGCGTGCCCAAGATCCCGAGAGGAGAATGGAAGAGAAGGGATTGCGACGTGGCCATCCCCCCTGGGGGGTGATTTCTCACTTTCTCTGTCTCTATGTCTCTCTCTGTCTGTCTGGCAAGCACATGCGTCCTATAGCAAAAAAACTCTCCAAAAAAAAAAAAAAGATTTCTATATATTACTTTAGTCTGACAAGAGATGCCTTCTCAGGGCAGTTCTTCCATTCCCCTAAAGCAGGGTTTCCCAACCTTAATCTCTGACACTCTGGCTGAGCCCTCGTCCGTGGGACTGTCTCACACATTGCAGGGCATTAAACAGCGTCCTCGGTCACTACTTACTAACAGTCAGTAGCAGTTCCCTACTCTCCCCTCACCCCAGCCCCCAAGTTAAAACATTCAAAAATGTCTCCAGGTTGTACCCAAAGTTTCCCGAGAGGCAAACACGTCCCTGCTGAAAACCACTGCTGTTAAAGAACCTGAGCAAGAACTCAGTTTCACCTAAGGCGGACTGTTTAAATGGACATAAATCTTTTAAAAATGTTACCCTTTACCTTTTGGCATTTGCACCCAAGAGGAAAGGGAATACTGCAAAAATCTCAGCATCACCATCTAACACGAGTCACACCGGGGAGAGCCGGCAGAGGGCGCTATTTTCCCGCGTGTGCGCTACTTGCCTTCTGGGCTCTCTCCAGGTTCTCTTCAGCTTTTTTATTGCTTGCAAGCAAGGATGAGGATCGCCTCATCCCGAGGGAAATATCTCCTATTTTTCCTGGGCCTTCATTTGATTAAAAGTTAATAACCTGGCCACACAAGGAAATTGGCACACTAGTCTCTCCTGGCAGGAGTGTAAACCAGTACTTCCTGGAGGAAAATTTGGTAGTGCTTATCAAGAAATGCCTTAGAATTATGTGCCCTCTTCGACCCAGCACTTCTAATCCTAGAAATTTAACCTGAGGAACTAATTAAGGATGAGAGCAAATCCTTACCCACAAGGGCAGTTATCAAAACGTTGTTTACAATATTAAAAACTGGAAACAATCCCATTATAAGGATCTAGATGAATCATAGAACACAGCCATGTAATGGAATAGCATGAAGTCATTTAAAATGCTGGAGAGCAAGGTTTAAGGCCACCCGTACACCACTTAGGATGTGCTGGACACGGGGATAAGTACTTGGTACTTTTTTTTTTTCCCCCAGAGGAAGCGAGCACATACCAGAGAGACATGGAAGAAAGCATTGCATGGAGGCATTTCTCCATCCTGTTGGGGTTTGGGGCAGGCTCACACACGTGCCCAGGTGTTTTTCAAGCCTCAGGGACTATGAGTCGAATTGCACCCAGCCATGTGAAATCTGGTTCCCTTAACCACTAGGCTACAAGGCTGGCCCCAGTTCTTTGTGCATATGAACTTAATTCATTAGACCCTTGCAACACTCCCAGTGCTGTCGGTACTACTACTGGTCCAGTTTCACAGACAGGAGAGGTGCCTCAAGTAATTTGGCCAAAGTTATAGGGTTAGTAACAGAAATCAAGCCCAAGCCGCATCTGCAAAGTCTAAAGATTTGTCTACACAGTGACTCGGCACTCAGTATAGACACAGGAGGCTGAAAGGGCTGGAGTGGAGAACCAGGACGAACACTATCAGATACACTCACCTGCACACTTACAGGAGTAGGGTTTTACAGCCACATTTTATTTTTTGGGTTCTTCGAACCTAGAACTGTCTAACGGGTACCAAGGGGATTGAGCTCCACCCTTGCTGAGCCATTACAGAGAACTCGGAGACAGGGAGGTGCCTCCATTTCGAGATAGAATTACGAGGTTGCAAAAGGTCATGTCATAGGTCACTTTCCTCACTCCATGTCGCGGTGCCATCATTTCTGTTCCCTTCCCAGATATTCTTCCATAACTTGCTTTCATCTCCAGGAAAGCCCAAGGCTTCCCAGAAACAGCTGCACTAGGCCATGATAACAAGCAGTTTCTAAACATAATGCATGCACTCTACCACCGGGCCCCTGAAGAACAGGAAACCCTATAGAAAAAAGGAAATAAAGAACCACAAAGAAAACTTCCAAACAGCAGTGTCTCTGTCCAGCTGGCATGAGGGCAGGAGGCAGGTGACAGCCTCTGTGGACCCCAGGACTCAGCCATGAGAATTCTTGCCTATCTCGGCAACATGGGACACCCTAAAAATAGGTCTAGCTGTGGATGTGCAGAATGACATCTTATGCTCTCCCCAGCCCTTCCTACTACTTAAAAAAAAAAAAAAAAAAAAAAAGCCGTTTTTAAAAAAGATCACGAACCACAAAGAAAACTTCCAAACAGCAGTGTCTCTGTCCAGCTGGCATGAGGGCAGGAGGCAGGTGACAGCCTCTGTGGACCCCAGGACTCAGCCATGAGAATTCTTGCCTATCTCGGCAACATGGGACACCCTAAAAATAGGTCTAGCTGTGGATGTGCAGAATGACATCTTATGCTCTCCCCAGCCCTTCCTACTACTTAAAAAAAAAAAAAAAAAAAATCAGCAGGTTTGAATAAGCTTCAGAGGAAACCAGCTTTAGCTACAAAGACAGAGAGGACATCTGGAAGAGCTCCAATTTGACAGTGAGAATATTTATGGAATCAGATGGCTGGTGGAGGCACACTCAGCAGCTTGTGTATGAGGACAAGATCTTCCTTATTTCTGCCTTCCTGGCACCCAGCACTGGTGTCAAACGAAGGAAACGACGTTTCCCGTTTCCAGAGTCAATCACCAAACCGGCCACACCCGCAGGCAGGACCAAGAACTGGGTCTGTGTTTTGTTTAATCCGTAAATATCTGTGTATCTTTAATGTGCACACTCTAAAAGATTAAAAATGCGAGAGGCCTTATTTTTAAAAGGTCTACAGCGATGCAAAGTCAGCCTAGAGGATCAATGGTGTGTCTGTTTCCTACGGCTGCTACAATCAATGACCACACACTTGGTGGCTCAAGGCAACACACACTGTTTACCCTACAGTTCTGGATAGTAGCGGTCCAAAACCAGGCTCACTTGGCCAAAATCAAAGCGGCAGCAGGGCTGTGCTCCTTCTCGAGGCCCTGTACGAGAATCTGTTGCCTTGCCTTTTCCAGCTTCTAGAGTTTACCTGCATTTCTTGGCTCGTGGTCCCTTCCCCTCTCTTCACAGCATCTTATCTCCTCTGATCCGTGGCTCTGATCCGCTTTTCTCCTAATAAGAACCCTTGTGAGTCTACTGGACCCACCTGGATCATCCAGGATGTTCTTCCTATCTCAAGCTCCTCAACAGAACCACATCTGCCAGGTTCCCTTTTGTGACGTACAGTAACATGTCCACAGGCCCCAAGGTTAGGGCTTGGGTATCTCTGGGCACCAATATTCTCCTGCCAAAGAAGAGTAGGGACTCTAGAGGGAGGAAGAGGCCCTGTGGTTGACTCACCCACCTTCCCCTCATCCTCAGGTGGTTAGTATAGGCCCCATCTACTTTGGCAGTGGTTAGTTCAGGGACAGGACAGAGAGAAGGCTGCTGGGGAATCCTCTTTGAGAGTCTCCCTGATCTTAAGAGACCCAGAGGACATGAACAAAGAAGCAGGTTGCCCACTTACTGCCCTTGGGCATCTTCATGGCTTTCAGATGAGACTCATCTCGTGGACAGAAGACGCAAAGAGCCCACGTCCCTGGTGACCTCTTCACCATCCTGAACCTGTTCTCCCCCTGGGCCTGGGGCTCCTATTTTGCAAGAGCAAGCATTT